GGTCATTTCATTGATTCAAAATGGCAGCTTCATTAAAGAGTTTTATCTTTTCAGAATGTGCCACTGCCATATTCTGAGGAGGTTTTGTGTATGGAGTTGATTAAGGTGAAGGATGATTGGAGAATAATTGCATTGCTAGGTTGAAGAGAGATTATTCTGGTAGGATAAATTTACCTTTAGATGGTAAATTGTTTCATGTAAGGTGTTGTGCACACATCTTAAATTTGTTGGTGCAGGATGGTCTTGATATGATTAAGGTGACTGTTGATAAGATAAAAAATGGTGTCAAATACTTGCTGAATTCTGAAACTAGATGCAAAGCATTCAAAACGTTTGTTGATGAGTTGCAACTTTAAGGCAGAATGCAAGTGTTGGATACCAAGACAAGGCGTAACTCAACTTGGTTGATCTTGTCAACTGCATACCACTACAGAGAAGTGTGTCCTAGATATGCTGAGGAAAATGGTGCATTTCTCTGTTTTTTGCCTGAGGCAAATGATTGAGAAGATGTGCATGATATTTGCAAGTTTTTGCTGATGTGACATCAATTATAAGTGGCACCTCTTACCCTACTACTAATCTGTTTTTGTCTGGGCTTTATAGGGTGAAGGTTATACTTGATAAACCTTCAAGTATCTCAAATAATCCTCAGCTGCAGGAGCTTGCTAATGAAATGAAGTTGAAATATGACAAGTATTAGTCAGAGTCTAATATATTGATTTCTATTGGTGCAGTCTTTAATCTAAGGTATGAACATGTTAGCCAATGATGAATTTTGTATGATATGCTTCATTATTATCTGAGGCTTTGATGAAATATGTATGATATGCTTTATTATTAATTGTCGCCTATGATGAATTATGTATGATATGAATGATTATCTTAGGCCTTTGATGAAATCTGTTTGATCTGCTTTATTATTATCAGATGCCTATGATGAAATTAGTTTGATCTGCTTGATTATTAACAGATGCCTATGATGAATTTTGTATGATATTAATGATTATCTGAGGCCTTTGACGAAATCTGTTTGATAAGCTTCATTATTATTTGATGCCAAATGCCAATGATGAATTATGTATGATATTAATGATTATCTGAGGCATAATCTGCATTGTGAGTTGTGACTTAATACTCCATATTGATTCAATTAAGTTGACTAGTTAGTTGTGATTTAATAGTGACTATGATGAATTATATTTGATCTATTTTATTTTACATCAATTATCTAAGGTCTGTTCTGTTATCTTCTTGTTAATTTACTTGTGACTGAGGCATAATCTGTTACCTCCTTGTATATTGCCTTGCCCATGATGAAAATTAATTCTGAGGCCATTATATGTTGCCTTGTGAATTATTCTGAGGTGTATATTGTTACCTGATACTTTACTTTATGCAATAGGTATACGATGATCTTCATCAAATGGATATACCCCTTCTGGTATCTAAATTCTTCTCAAACAACTACCTATGAACAAGAGTCGTCAAACAACTTAAGTTCCCTCTTCCAATTGTATAAAGATACCTATGGAACCAATGATGAGATTACCCCTAGTGGTGGTGTATGTGAAAGTCCAGAAGTAGAATCTACTTCTGGGTTGGGAAGGAGGAATTTTAAGAGGTTTTTAGAAACTGTTGTGGGTAATAATAATTCAAAATCTGATCTTAAATTATATCTTGAGGAGTCTCACTTGAAAGTTCCCCCCAAAGCTAAATTTGGTGTTTTAACATGGTGGATGGGGAACGAAGTCAAGTATCATGTTCTTAGTAAATTGGCAAAAGATATCATAACTGCTCCAGTTACTACTACTGCTTCTGAAGCAACTTTTAGTGCTGGGAAAAGGGTTATTGATCCAAAACGATCATCTATGAAAACTAAGACAGTTGAAATGGTGCTTTATGGAGGTGATTGGGTGAAAGAGAAATATGTGATTAAGAATGCCTGCACTGTTTCAATTGTATGTATTGGTTATTATGAATATTGGTTATTAATGTAATATGTATATTGGTTATTATTCTGTCTCACTAATACATTTTCTGTTTTTGTAGCTTGAGGAACCACAAGATGAACCTTTGACTTACCATTTTGGTGAAGATTCAGGTCTCGCTTCTTCTACAGTTGTAAATTGAAAATGTATATTTGAAATGCCAATGATGAGCTTGTTCTAAGGCATCATTATGTAATGATATTTTGCACAAGTTTTTTGATACAATCTTTTAACAACTTTTTTGATACAATGTTGTTACTTATTATGGTGTTGTAATATTTATACAATGTTCAATGATGCTACAATGTGACCTGGGTAGTAAAATTATGCCTTATTATTTAGCAAAATGATGATAGTATCATATAAAGAATTGAGTTTCAATTTTATGTTATAATTTCTGAAATTTAATTTTTGTTCTTATATTTCGGGTGGTCTGGTTACCCACCCGAAACTCATCGGACCGGTCTCGGTTCTCAATACACAATTTCGTTAAATTTAGTTCGGTCCCGATTTACCCGAATGTACCGAATCAGTTTCAATAAAAAACTAATATTATTATAGTCTGGTCGCAATCTACCCGATTCAAGTTTCAGTCCAATCTTTAGAAGAACAAATACTCAGACCAGACCAGACCGAACCAAAAACAACCTTAGATTAGAGTTCAAGTCCACACATTTACAAGATTCCACTCAACCACCTAAACATTAATTCAACCACCGCCTTTTTCCCACTTATAATGTTTTTATTTTTTTCCCACTACTTGTGTTGTGTATATAAATGTAACAAAGAATGCATTCATTATCTTCAAACCCAAATATCACCACAAAATAACATCACTCATTCTTTCATTTCTTGCTTCACTCACTAAAACCAATATGACTACTCTCACCTCAAATCTAACCCTTATCCCACAACATGGCACTAAAAACCATCAACAAAAAAACCATAGTTCTTCTATTGTTGAGGAAATCAAAGGTCTTATCAAAGTTCACAAAAATGGATACATAGAACGACCCAATATTGTTCCATGTGTCACAGCTGATTTGAATCCAAATTTGAATGTGATTTCAAGAGACATAATCGTTGACAGTGTTACAAACATTTGGGCACGTTTCTATGTTCCAACTTCTCCACAAAAAAAACTACCTTTGTTGGTGTATTTTCATGGTGGTGGTTTCTGTGTTGGTTCTGCAGCTTGGAGTTGCTACCATGAATTTCTTGCTATGCTATCTTCCAAACTTAGTTGCATAATTATGTCAGTTAACTATAGATTAGCACCAGAAAACCCTCTTCCAGCACCTTATGATGATGGCTTAAATGCACTAATATGGTTGAAAAAACAAATTCAAAATAAGGCTAATAGTGAATTTGAATGGTGGGCTAAAAAATGCAACTTTTGTAGTGTCTTCTTAGGAGGTGATAGTGCAGGTGGTAACATAGCTTATAATGTTGCCAAAAGGGTAGATTCATGTGAAGATAATTTTTTAAGGCCTTTGAATTTGAAGGGTCTTATTTTGATACAACCATTTTTTGGTGGAAAAGAAAGAACATTATCAGAGAAGTGTATGGTTCAATTATCTGGTTCTGCTTTGAATTTAGCAGCATCTGATGCTTATTGGCGACTGGCGTTACCGTACGGGGAAGGTCGTGATCATCCATGGTGTAATCCATTGGTGAAATTGGAGGAATTGAAGATGCCTATGTTGGTGTGTGTATCTGAGCTGGATATATTGAAAGATAGGAACTTGGAGTTTTGTGATGGTTTGGGAAGAATAGGTGAAAGAGTTGAATATGAGGTGTTTGAAGGAGTTGGACATGCTTTTCAGATTCTGAGTAAATCTGAGGTTTCTAAGATAAGAGTTGTTCAAATGATGGATCGTCTCAAATCCTTCATGTTGGGTGCTTGATTGATGTTTGAATCTCTATGTGTGTGCATATTCTATACTCTTGCTCAGTTTGTAAATATTGAAGAAAATCTTGTTCATAAAGTTGGTAAATGAAAAGTTTCAATAGAAGTTTATAGTACAATTGTATAACTATTTTTCTTGAAACTTAATTCTAGCAAGTTAGTGTGTATAAGATTTCCCTTTTTTCTTACTATGATGAATTCGACACATTGATTGTCTCTACGATGAGTGTGACGGATTCTGAGGCTATTGTTCTTGTAATTTGTCTTTGATGTCTTTGAATCAAAACAACATATTTATAGTACTTGTTGGTGGATGCCTCAAGAAAGTATGCATAGGAAGAAATATATGAAGCAAATTGAGTCGCTCAAGCCCTTATTTATAGATATGGAGATGCCTAAGTGGATTTTCAGACATTCCTTTGTTGGTTCTCCACCTGTAGAACTTGCTCTTCACTCCTTTTCTCATTCACCTTTTGTTCATGTACAAGCAAGGATGCTTGCAATTCATCTACTGTGAGATCATCAATGTCCTTGAACTCTTTGATGGAGCATACCACAAAGTTGAAGTTGTCTGTGAGACTTCGAAGTGTTTTTTCAACAATTTCGACATCGTTCATGTCTTCTCCACAGTTCCTCATGCCATTGGCAATAGACATGACTCTTGTGAAGTACTTAGACACACCTTCTCCCAATTTCATTTCAAGGGTTTCGACTTGATGTATTAACGAATAATCAATTTGATTCGATTGAATAAATAAATTCGCATTTAGTTTTCAATTGGATTGTTACAATGTACTGTTACAATGTATCAAATAAATTGACTATAATATGTTGCTGCTATTGCTATTGGATTGGTCAATTGAATTGTTATGTAAGAGTATCAATATGATGCTGCTAATTATAATAACATACTACTGCAACATAATATAATGATGCTACTTATAATAACTTTCTGCTGCTGCATAATTGATGCATGTTGTAACATAATATGATGGTGTTACTTATAATAACATGTTGTTGCCACATAACCTTGTGCTAATGCAGTATAAAATGTTGATGCTGCATAAACTTATGTTGCTGCTACATATACTAACTTTGCGCGAATGTTAGAGGATCCAGTGGGGTGGTGGTTTTGGAGCCCTAACTGTAACCTAGGGAAGAAAAAAAACAGAAGCCGTGGTCATCACGAAAACAAGCGAAATCAGCAGAAGCTATATTCAACTATCATGGATTCCATCGCCGTCAACCACCCTGATCCGATTTGTAAAAACTCTATTCCGGACAAATTCCTCCTAGCCCCACTAGCGATGTCGACGAATTCATGGGCATTCCTTCTATCCCCGATACCGACGAGTTCATGGGCATTGGTGCTTGCACCGATGAACTTGTCCCAAATCACCACCCTCTGGACCGTCTTTTTCACGGTCTTTAAGGTCTTTCACTATGTATCATTGGACTTTGTTTATCGGACAACAAAAAGTTTTTTTATATAGCTTAAAAAGTAATTCTTGGAGAATGCTCGACATGGACGATGTTCTGTCTCATTGGAATTATCCTGAACCATTTGTTGGTCACGAAGTTTAGGAGCGTGTCATTGGTGATAGAATTAATTTAGATTTTATAATTAATTAGATATTAATTTATATTTAGTAATATCTTTTAGATTATTTATATCTTTGTTAGAAAATATATATCTTAAATCTTCTTATATCTTTATTAGAAGATATATTTTAGATTTAATTTTGTATATAAATAGCCTAGTGGAGTATGTTATTTTAATTCATTGTAAATCCTTATTTTGAAGTTGTCAAGTAAAGATTTCTTTTGTCTTTTATCTTCCTTGTGCATCAAAAATTGTAGAAATCATGATTCTGAAAGTGAAACTTCTGAAGGAGGAGCTTCTTAAGGAAATTCAGCCTTTGACGATGATCATTGTAACACCTCAATTCTACCCCAAACAATTATGCAAAACAAATCAGAGTTATAAAATTTCAATCATACAAATGAATCGGGACGTCACAAATTCTTCTAACAAATTCATTGCATTCACCATTGATATATATCACTTTTTCAAACCAACGGATGAACCATCAACATGACATCTTTCATTAATTAATTCAACAACTACGCAACGGAATTCTTCAATAACATCTTTAAACAAAACATCAACTACGAAACATCTCATATTTAATGATAATCAAATTAAATTCGACAACTAAAAATCATCAATCAAAACAGCAAGCGTTCATCCCCCCGAGTGTTACATATCAGAGCAATGACACCGACTCGAACTATTGAAGGTATACAACCTTCACTCTCGATTACCTTCACGTTACCAACATAGGGGCAACATTCAAACAGAAGGGGTGAGATATCTAACAATATAATAAAGTGCATGATAATTAATATATTAAATTAGATCAACAACATCATCACTTCCCATCTCATAATCAGCAACAATCTCAACAATAATATACATGTTCATCCACATCAAAATACACTTCTTTATGAAATCGTATAATGCGACTCAATACTATACAAATGCATGTGGTACCATTGGAGCAGAACTCCCATCTCAAAAATTTGCCAATTAATAGAGGCATCAACAAGGCATAAGCCTTCATCTCAAAATTCACCAATACAGGTCATCTCAACGAGCATAAGCTCCATCTCAGAAATGCAATGTATGCGACACAACCATGAATGTAATGATAGCACCCAAGTTGACAACATCTCAAATCATCTAAAAACATCTCAAATAATCATCTCAAAACATCTCAAAATTAACATCTCAAAACATCTCAATTTAACATCTCAAAACATCTAAAAATTAACATCTCAAAACATCTAAAAATTAACATCTTAAATAATCAGAATAATTCATCTAACATCTTCATTTATAAATCATCAAACATCATTTTAATATTAATAAATTCTTGTTAATAACACAGCAGTATTTAATATTATTTCACAGTAAATCAACACTGTTATCCTGAAGCTCTAACGTCAAGACCATCACTTCCTACTGTTATAGCTCAAACAGCAGCTTCTAGCATCTAACGTTCATCGTTCTGCACAAACAACACAAGGGCCAACACAACTTCTGACCACACAACCTCTAACCAACACATTTCTTAAATACACAACTTCTAATGATGCAACCTCTGGAAACAATCTTCTGACTACTATAACTTCTGACTAATACAACCTCTGATCATCTCAGCTCCTGACTAACCTCATCTTCTGACCAGGTACAACTTCTGATCATCACATCTTCTGACTAACCCCATCTTCTGACCAGATACAACTTATGATCAGATACAACGTCTGATCACCACATCTTCTGACTAATGCCATCTTCTGACTAGTGCAACTTCTGACCAGATACAAGTTCTGATCATCACCATCCTCTGACTGACCACATCTTCTGACCCATACAACTTCTAACGTCAGAACTTCTATTTCCTAGTAATTCAACGTAGCTTCTAACCACCTAAGTCTAGCATCAGAACTATTATTTTCTATTCGTCCTGTTGTTCGGAAATCTTTGCCTGCTATCAATCTAACTAAGAACAACACTAACAAATTCTATTCTCCAATTAATTCATTATTCTAATGCAGCAGCGCCTATTTCCAATTATTAAATTCTGTGTTTATGTATTGCAATATTCAACGTTTCTCTTCCCTGTTAACCTTACAGATTCATACATAAAGCCTTAAACCTATTCTAGTCGTGACAATTTATCACCCACAAATTACCTTATAATTCTACATCAATTAAGCAACATCAAGACATCATTATTCATCCAAAAATTCATCGATTCTTATCACAAACAATCATATAATTTCCATTCAGGAACGAAACAACATCCACCTCTAACCCCACATATCAATCATCATAAACCCAATTATAGAGTTAGAACCTCACCCTTACCTTGGATTGAAGGTTGCTCTACAATTCTGGTTGGATTTACGTTCTTGCCGTTTCCCACTTTCTCCAAGAGTTTGCACGTTCTTCTCAATCCTTATTTCTTCTAATGCCTCCTTCTTTCTATTCTCTTCTAACAACAAATAATAAAATAAACCTATTATTATATTATCTCCTTATTGGGTTTAAAACCAACACACCCCCTTATTACTTCTACTCTCCCAAAATAGGCTCATATTAAATAGTATTACACTTTTAATATTATTTCACCATATAATATTATATCTCTAATATTATTTCTCCACTCTAGTAAAACAAATCCAATTAATTATAACACATCTTCATAAATATTCCAAAAATAATTTAATTAAATAATTAATTAAATTACGGGCGTTACAACTCTCCCCCCACTTAGAATATTTTCGTCCTTGAAAATTTACCTCAATCGAACAATTCAGGATAGGAGTCTCGCATCTTGCTCTCCAACTCCCAAGTCATGTTTTCACCAGCAGCTCCTAGCCAAACCAATTTAACCAAGGCAATCTCTTTTCCCCTCAGAGTCTTCATTTCACGATCTGCGATCCGTACATGCATCGTCTCCACCATAAGATTATCCTGTACTTGCACATCGTCCATATGAACCACATGAGATGGATCTGAAATATACTTCCGAAGTTGCGACACATTAAACACATCATGCAAATTCGAAAGATTAGGCGGTAAAGCCACTCTATAAGCAACATTCCCCACTCTCTCTGAAATCTGATACGGTCCAATAAAACGAGAAGTGAGTTTCTTAGACTTCAACGCTCGCCCAACACCAGTCACAGGTGTAACTCTCAAAAACACATAATCACCAGCTTGAAATTCTAAATCCTTCCTTCGCTTGTCATGATAACTCTTCTGTCTACTTTGTGAAGCTTTCATCTTTTCTCGAATCAACTTCACCTTCTCGATAGTCTCACGAATAAGTTCAGGTCCAAGTACTACCCTCTCACCAGATTCATGCCAACATAACGGAGTTCTACATATTCGACCATACAACGCTTCAAAAGGTTCCATTCCAATACTAGAATGATAACTGTTATTATAAGTGAACTCTATCAACGGAAGATAAGTATCCCACAGACCTCCCTGCTCAAGAACACATGCCCTCAACAAGTCTTCTAACGATTGAACCGTCCGTTCAGTCTGACCATCTGTCCGAGGATGATACGCTGAACTTAACATCAACTTAAAACCCAACGCTTCTTGCAAACTCTTCCAAAAATCAGAAGTAAATCTTAGATCTCTATCTGACATAATGCACAAAGGAACACCATGCAGTTTCACAATCACACTAATATAAATCTCAGCTAACTTCGACACTGGAAAACTGATGTTAATAGGAATAAAATGAGCTGACTTCGTAAGCCTATCAACAATCACCCAAATCGAATCATGTCCTCTTAAAGTATTAGGCAATCCTGTCACAAAGTCCATTGAAATGCTATCCCATTTCCATTCTGGAACTTCCAACGATTGCATCAATCCTGCAGGCTTCTGATGTTCAACTTTCGACTTCTGACAAGTCAAACATGCATACACAAACCGAGCCACATCACTCTTTATCCCAGGCCACCAAAACAAACCCTTCAAATCTTGATACATCTTTGTAGCTCCTGGATGAATACTCAACTTACTTCTATGACTCTCTTCAAGTATCACCTTCTTCATCTCAGCATCATCAGGAATACAAATCCGGTTACGAAATCTCAACACACCTTGCGCATCTAGCTTAAAATCATTATTACCGGATTGATCAGTCCCAACCATCAAATCTACCAGTTTCATATCCAACTTCTGAGCTTCTCTGATACTGTCAAGAAATTCATTATTAATCTTCAACATACCCAACATAACACTTTGCGGAGTAACCTCGAAAACTAAGCTCATATCTCTGAACTGCTCAATCAATTCCAACTCTTTAATCATCATTGCGGACATATGTAAAGTCTTTCGACTCAACGCATCAGCTACCACATTCGCCTTTCCTGGATGATAATTCAAACCGAATCATAATCCTTTAACAATTCCAACCATCTTCGTTGCCTCATATTCAACTCTTTCTGATCAAACAAATACTTCAAACTCTTATGGTCACTAAACACTTCAAATCTAGAACCATAAAGATAATGCCTCCAAATCTTCAATGCAAAAACAACTGCAGCAAGTTCTAAATCATGTGTAGGATAGTTCTTCTCATGAGTCCTTAACTGCCTCGACGCATAAGCACACCTTCCAAACCCATCTTAGAAGTATCACAATACACCACAAAAGGCTCTCCTGGATTAGGCAACATCAAAATCGGAGCCGACGTCAACCTCTTCTTCAATTCCGTAAAACTTTCTTCGCATTGAACATCCCATACAAAAGCTCTACCTTTATAAGTCAACTTAGTCAACGGAAGTGACAACTTAGAAAACCCTTCGATAAACCTTCTATAATAACCAGCTAATCCCAAGAAGCTTCTAATCTCAGTAGCTGACTTTGGAGTTTCCCATTGCAACACAGCGTCAACCTTCG